GTGACAGTCACTGTGCAAATATATGAGTGATGCATGAACATTGCCGCGGTATTTGTTACCGACAAATTCATAAAAAAATAACTTTAAAGCTATCTGAACCCATCTGAAAATGTGCACTTTATTCTGCACCATGATGGAAAGCATTCTTGCTTTTCATAATGAGATTACTGTAAAGCCATTATACAGAGTGCTTTGCATACAGTATCGTTCATTTCCCTTGCTTAAAAAAATGGCAGCATGAAATATGAAATGTTTGTGCGTATTTGTGTGCATGCAAATGATGGCCTTTATGTGACAGTGGGAGCGTAAACAGCCGCATTACCGGGACTGATGTTAGCAGTGCTCAGAGAGTGCCGCTCATACATGTTTCATGATGTCAAACTCCAAGTTCAGCAGAGACACTGCTGCAGGAAAATGCATGGGCCAATGCAACATTTAGTAGGTGCAGGCACAAACTCGGTAAAGACATGAGTTGAATGAGACTTCAGTCTTTTGAGATTTGGAGTAGTTTCAGTTTACAGTACTTTTCCTCTCCACCTACACTACACACTCATAAACATACAACCTCAATTGTGTTTGTCATGATTGGGTATAAAAGGAGCATCCCCAGAAGGCTCAGCTGTTCACAGGCAAGGACGGGGCGAGGTTCACCACTTTGTGAACAACTGCGTGTTTAAGCAGTTTAAGAACAACGTTTCTTAATGCACAATTGCAAGGAATCTTGGGATTTTTCTACTGTCCATAAAAAGATTCAGAGCTCTGCAAGTAAGCGGCAAGGCCGAATAAGAACACTGGATGCCCATGACCCTCGATCCCTCATTTGGCACTGCATTAAAAACCAACATCATTCTGTAAAGCTATTACTATGCGGGCTCAGTTAACACAGTTCATCGCTACATCTACAAGTGCAAGTTAAAACTCTACCATGCGAAGCGAAAGCCATATATCAACAACACCCAGAAATGCTGCTGGCTTCTCTGGGCCTGAGCTCAGCTGACACAGACTGACGTAAAGTGGAAAAGTGTGCTGTGGCCTGACGAGTCCACAAATCTTGTGGCAAAGAGGAAAAGGACCATCCGCACCATGCCCCTGTCCCAGCAGTGTTGCAGGCATCAAATTCAAAATGAGTGAAAATTTGCAAAACAACAATAAATCTGATCAGTTTGAACATTAGCCATATTGTCTTTGTAGTGTATTCAATTGAATATAGGTTGAAAAGGATTTGCAAATCATTGTATTCTGTTTTTATTCATGTTTCGCACGACGTCCCAACATTGGAATCTGGGTTGTACATCCTCAGAACAGCGTGCTGAATCCACTGAACAGTTTTCCATTCTTCTGAAAAGAAGACTTTATGTCACGGTTCCTTATTCATGGTGTTTACACACAGATTAAGAATAAAAGAACAATTTTTATTTAGACCTTTATGAATCAAATAATATTAGCTCAACAGTGTTTAGTGATCAATATCCATCACAAAAAAACAAAGAAAAAAATCACAGTACAAGTTTAGCCATGAATATTTTTTTAATTTTTGGTAATTATAAATATCTGCTTTAAATACACTAACAAAATAGCTTGGACATTTTTCATGACTCGATATAGTAACAGCTTCCCAAAAATTGAGATACTTTGAAAATTTCAGGATCTACAAACCTGAGCCACAACGAAAACAAAAGATCAACAGAAGGTTTGGTAACCGATGCTACACAGTAGCTGATAGAAGATGAGCAGCTCCAGTCCTCCACGAGTTACCAGCGCCGCGAAACGCGTTACTGACACGTCAGCAAGCTCCGGCTGAAAACAAAAGATCTGAATACACAACAGCCAGATTAACAATTCGACTTCATCGTCTTTAGACAGCGTTGAATGATTGAGAGATTGACTGCAATGCACTTATATTTGATTAAAAGCTTCACAACAGTGTAAATTTCAGAGATCTGTAAACGCTGCACATGACTCAGCAGAAGTAAACACACATATCCAATCAGCAAAGGTTCATGTACTCTAATGTAAAGAAAATAGAAAATACCCTCACATGTGTGGAGTTACATTTGTGCCACAAGTCAGTGCAGACCTGATTTTTGCCATGTGACAATCAATCTACTTCTTCCTATGCTTAGAGTTGAAGCACAAATGACTCTCTGTAAGTCAGAGCAGCATCTGCTGTGCTGATTAACTACGTGTATGTGGGTGCCAGTTTCCTCCTAAGGGTGAGGGAAGGATACTCTTCTTTGTTGGTACAAGTTGTTGCAAGCATCGTTTAGCTGTACACACAATAGGTGTCGAGAGAAAGCCACCTGCTCCCGGTTCCCTTTGTTCTTATTAATATTACATGTTGTACACCTATGATGCAAAGCTTTCAGGGAATTACATCTTTAAAGAACAAAACAGAACAACATTAAGCGCGCGCACACACACACACACACACACACACACACACACACACACACACACACACACACACACAGACACACCAGTGTTTGTATTGATTTTGCTTCCTGTTGGAGAATTTTCAAGGGAAAAAAGTTCCCCCTTCAGAAACTTGTCCACTATCTAGATTTCCATCTGTTCAGTTACTTTTTGTGATTCTGCATTAATTCTGCACATAACTCGTTTGTGATGAGTACACATCCTTCAGGATACCTTTGAAAAGCCCACACAGACGTGCAGAAAGACCTCACTGCAGCGAGTAGGTGGTGGAGGATGGATTGTCGTGCTTGCTCCCATTTTAGTGAACTGCTAATTCTTTCAAAGAGACACCGAGGTCTTCCTCTCGGGTGTCGCTAATCCCCTAAACATCTGATCACGTCAGAAAGTTGCAGCTGCAGTTTGTAGCAATGCTATGGATGCGGTCTCCTTCCTTACAGATGTTGATGCTGTGTAATTTTGTTTTGTTTCCTTCCTTCACCTGGATGCTGAGGTCATGCCAGCCGCTGATTTTCCTTCGTGAGCCATCGTGGAGGGTTTGGGTTGGGCCACTTTCAGTCCACTTTAAAGCTGCATTGAATCATCTGAAAAACTGTTTTCCTTGATGAGATCAGTTTAAAATTCAATGCTGGTTGTGGAAACGGGGAACTTTTAACACCTGTTTAAGGAAGGTGTAGGTTGTGTTGCTAATCTGTCTTTAAAGCACTTTTTGGTGGTTTAATGACCTGTTTGTTTTGAATCATAGTGAATGGCTCTCGGTCTTCTGGCATTAGTTGTTTCAATGTTCAGGACAAACCTTCTGTAAACCAGCTTTGAGCTTTTAGGCTACGTGAAACTTTGACAGCAAACAATAAAGGTGATTATCCACACTGACTGTGGGGAAGATTCCTAAAAACTACAGTCGCTCCTGTCTAAAAAACAGCTGTTTAAGTGTAACCTATGATATTTTACATGTTGCTTTTTAAGATACTGTATATCCAGCCTACAAGTGTCAGTCTGGTCCATATTTCCCAGCCTCGGCCAACAGCATTCAAAGTTGAGAAAAACAGAGCTGTGGTGAGAAGTTTGCATCCACTCATCACAGCCATGGATGTCAGGCTAATTTGGGGTGGGATGTTTTTTACAGTGGGGTGGCTGTGTGGTAAACTTCTTTGATGCAAAGCATGAAATGGGTGCACAAGTTTGAATTTATTTTGGATTCCTAACCAGCTGCCTCTGACATGAGAGAGACAGTTTCGTCTTCTTTCAGACGTCTGCAAAGTGGTGACACATCTGAATAATTTATACAATTGTTTGAACTGATGATCTTGAAATCTACAGATGTTTAGAAATGGCTCCAAGAGACTCTCCCAAGTTATGTAAATCTGCATTTTCACTAATTCTTCACTGAGTTCCCTGGACCGTCCCATTGCTCCGAGTATGGGCGGGCCAACGAGCGCAGTCCTTTGTAATGATGCAAAGAAACTACAAGTTTTATTCAATCATGATAACCAAGTTAATGGGCCTTAGCCTGTACGTATACTTCTGACCATGTGTCGATTATAGAAAATCCAAAATAAGTTTAAACTTGTGCACGCAGTTCTTTTCTTTTAAGTCATTGAAATGCAGCGATTCACCCTGAAAAAAGAACAGCTGAAAGAAATTAGCCTGAAATTCAGACCTGTGACGACTGGATGAAAACAACCACAGCTGGATTTGTAAATTCATAAAACTCCAAATATCTGTATTTTACTGTGATCTTTTCATACTTTTTTGCTGTGTATTCTGAATGAACAACCATCCAAGGTTAAATTTTCATTCACGTGGCACTCAACGAGCGGGCAGCAGTGACCTCTAAATCCAGGGAAAAGAACGCCGCGTTTCTTGTTGAAAAGTTTAAAATTGAAAAAGGAGGAAGTGTCTGAAATAGGATAATAAATATCTGAGGTTCTGCACCTTTATGCTACACCTACGCAGGCATTTTCAATAATTTTTCTTGATTAGACATCTTCTGAGGACCGTGTAGGAGTATTGCCGACATGCTGTGATAAACTACGGACCTGAAATCAGGTTTAGTACACGTTCTGTGGTATTTAATTCTTCTGAATATTTAGCCAAGGTTTGGGCCACCCTAACAAATTCTTAGTTTAGGTGTGACTTTGACCTGTACTGACCTCAGCAGTCACCATGATGGACTGAGCGCTCTCATCACTGCATCTCTGCTGTAAGCTCTTAAAAGCCAGAGCCGTCGAGGAGAGCGCTGTGGCCACGTCTTCTGCTGCTCTAAGGTTGCATTGTGTGATTACTCTCTTCAAACGCGTTGGAGAGGCATCCTTTATAAGGTCAATGAGAAAAAGCTGATGGGAGCAGTTAGTAATTTACAGACAGCACAGATGCAGCCAGACAATGTGAGGATGAAAACTGTAGTCAGACACCGAGCTGGGCCAACGTGAGCAGGGTTGGTTTATAACAAACCCCCCACCATATTAACAAAAAGTCTGGTTCTGAAAGGGCAAATGTGCACATCATTCCCACTTTTTCCATATGCTGAGGGATACTGCAGGTATCTATTAAAGTCAAAGCAAAGCATCTGATACACAGCCACCTGTGGGCAACCAACACGACATCTGTAGGTTTTTGATCCAACTGGATTATCTTTGCACTCACGTTATATTTCTGAGTGTTGAGAGGGCTTTGAAACATGATTTTTGAGATAAAGTTAAAAGAAAAACTTAAATTTTAAATAGTGAGGAAATCTAAGAGTTAGTTGTTGTTTTTCTGCAGAGATAATTCAGCATTTCTAAAATCGTGCACACTGCAGCACACTGCTCCAGGTGTCAGTGGACGGATGCCGTGGAAGCTCCATCTTCTCCACATCACGAAGTCTTTTGTCCTGGCAGGTGTTTCCAGATTTCTGTTTAGAAGTGTACACACACGCCAGAATGATTGGCGGTTCTGTCTGTAAACCATTTAATCCCAAAACACACTCTGAAACCCCTGAGTGACGGTGTTTCTATCACAGTGCCAGTTTAAATCACTCTGTGGTATTCTTCATTAGACCAGCTCCTTTTTAGTGACATCAGGAAATCTACAGCACCTGCTCGGTCGCTCCGCTCCAGTCGAGCGGTGATGGTAACGATTTAAAACCTGCCCTAAAAATCAAACGTGAGCAACACGCCGGCTGCTTTGCAACAATACGCTCACCTCGCATCTGTCCGTCTGCACGCAAACATATTGAACCGCGCTCACTCAATTTGTTTTGAGATTGTGTGATGAGGCTGTGGCAGCTCAGGCCTGAACTTAAACTACCGACTGGGAGCCAGAATACATCACAGGCCCGCTCCTGCAATAACCAGACTGCTTACATGATTTCATGAGCCTGTCTCCCGGAACAAGTGGCTATATTTCTCATTTCCATCGCAGAGTGGGGAGTTTTAAGAGCTCCGGCTCCATCTGTGAGTGTCTCTTCTCCCAGGTCATTGGTATAAAATGGTTATTAGGTTACTAATGGTCCGTGTCTGATTGGAGCACATCTGCTTCTATGCAGATTCTCCTTAAAAATAAGTCCAGTACTGAAACTAACTTTTTGAGAGCTTAGTTTGATGCTGAGGTCAGTGTGTTAGTCCATCTCTAACTGGACTATCATTTGTGGACCAGTCCATCCTGGCTTTGGGTCAGTTTGGTTTTTCGGTGTGAAGTGGCAGACTTCCTCAGTTAGACCAGTCCATCACATGAAAGGTCTCCTAATGTCTGACTGGTGTCACTACGTTCACTGTGGCAGGACAGTCAGTATGTTGGTGATGGTCCATTTCTGATCCGTGCAGTCCTGAATTGCCAGCTGGAAACTGAACTCTGACTGTCGGCTCTCCACCAGCTCCAGACAGCGCTGCGACTCCATGTTTTGGATGGGACCACCCTGGAGAGACAGAGACAAATGAGGTGAGGAATATCTCAGCATACAGGCAGGACGGGTGTGACGTTCTACTGGTGTTTTTGGACGAGCAGTAACCTCCATGGCTGAAGAGCAACGCGCACGAGTGTCAAAAACTGCAGTTGCTCTAATGGCCACTCAAGTCAATTCCTATAGATTCCAATGGTAAAAATGCACAATTTCAGCATTATAGCCTGGCTATTATAGACTATTGGCTATACTGTATATAGATATATCTATGTATGTAGACAGGGTGGCTTTAGCTCAGGAGGTACAGCAGGTCATCTACTGATCGGAAGCTTGGTGGTTTGATACACCAACATACACATATATTAAGTGCACCATCCTCAAAAGCAGAGCAACAATCTCCATATTCATGGAGAAACAGGAAGCAACTTTTCAAATGAAACCGAGTCTCTGCAACGTTTACAACACGTCTGCCATAAAACGTATGAGGCAGTTTACAGCAGAGCTGTCAGGTATCTCAAGCATATTTTGACCTTGGCTTTGGACTTTTGCCGGTTTAAGACTGTAGCGTGAGAGTCCAGACTGACGCCTTATTAGAACCGTATTAGTTACCGAACACACCACACACAGATGGTCTGCAGTAGTATTTTGTGTATGTACGGTCAACAAATGTCCAGTAATATTTAAACATTTGGTGCTATGGTAATTATGCAATGAAGCTAATATTTCATTATTATAAATTCAGCCTCCACAGGTGATTGATGTTTATTACATAGTGAGTATTTTACCATTCAATTAACAGTTATTTAGATGTTTTGGCAATGCTGCTCCTGTGACATCTGTGCCAGTAAAGCTGACTGAAGGGAACTGACCTGAGAGAGGGGGACACAAAAAGCTTGTGTGTGTCTGTCTGTGTGCACGTCGCTTCACAACAATGTCATTTTCAATAAGAGGCTTGCTTCACTGTCTGAATGCACGCTGGGCTGCTGCCTCTCCATTCCTTGAACAATGCGCTGGCACCTAAAAGTAGGTCCTTAGTTATGTGGCAAACAACAGTAATATGTTTTAATGAGCCCGAGCGCAGTGAGAGCGGAGACTGAACCAGCGCTGCTTTGAAATCAATATGCTCTACACCTCCCAGCATTACATGCACAAGCACAAAGGAACAGCCATCAGCCTGAGGACAGAGCTGACTGTACAGCAGTGTTTTCGTGTTCCTAAACACACCGCTAACCCTGCATGCTGTTCTCGAATGCCTGACTACATTAGAAACACAACAAAAAAGCGGACCTGTGCACGGCACTAACACAGTGCTCTTCTCTCAGCTCTCAGCTCACTGAAAAGGTATCGATTCTCTCTGCTTGCTTTTCTCTGTGCACAGCTGCTCAGGCACAGAGCTGTTCACCCACAAAACCCAAGCTGCTGACACGTAAGAGTGACCAAAGCATACATGCACATATATGACCTGTCATAAACATGCATTCATGCAGAGAGCGGGACAGAAACGTGGAGCTCCATCTGTCTCTGAGATTTGAACCTGACCTTACGCTGACCCCAGGCTGATCACCGTAGCTGGATGTGTCCCATTATACACTCGGAATACTCGAGGGCTTCTTATCGAAGCTCAAGGTAAGTATGTGCAATATTTTCACAGCCAAAAAGGAGAAAAAGTGTTCCAAAGCACACTTTCTAAGAGCACCTTTATGCAAGAAAGAATATAAAGAATAAACCTCTTTAACAAGAACTTTATTGTGTTCGCTAAGCCTGTTTATTATGCTTAAAGTGTGACTGCATTACTGCTTCTTTACTGACTAATGCTTTGTGTTTTGCATTTTCCTTCACCTGCACCCAGAGACGAGACACATTCCTCGAAATCGACTAACGTGCTTTCTGAAGTCCTTCTGGGTTCCTGTTTGGTTTCTTATTGTTATATTTAAAACACAAGGCCTGAAAGCTTAGTGAGTCCGTTTAAACCCTGGAGTTTCAGGGTCATGATAGACGAACTCACTTATTACCTTTTTAGTTTTTGGCATTATAATACATGCTGCAAACCTCACCTACCCCAGGGCAAAACTTAGATGTACAAGGGCCAACCACCAATGTGGAAAACAGTAGAAACCAAGGTTATTATAGTTAACTAAAACTGAACTAAAAAACTAAAACTAGATGTGAAAATACGAAGCTCTCAATTTACCGGTCGATCTACGTCTCTACCCTCACCTATGGCCACGAGCTGTGGGTAGTGACCGAAAGAACGAGATCGCGGATATAAGCGGCGGAAATGAGCTTCCTCCGAAGGGTGGCTGGCCTCTCCCTTAGAGATAGGGTGAGAAGTTCGGCCATCCGAGAGGGGCTCAGAGTAGAGCAGCTGCTGCTCCACATCGAAAGGAGCCAGCTGAGGTGGTTCGGGCATGTCCCACCGGGAGGAGGCCCCGGGGCAGACCCAGGACACGCTGGAGAGATTATATCTCTCGGCTGGCCTGGGAACGCCTTGGTATTCCCCCGGACAAGCTGGAGGAGGTGGCTGGGGAGAGGGAGGTCTGGACCTCTTTGCTTAGGCTGCTACCCCCGCGACCCGACCTCGGATAAGCGGATGAAGATGGATGGATGGATGTGAAAATACATTTTATTTAATTACAACAGAAATAAAAACGATACTTTTGAACTAAAATTATTTCACAAATGTAAAAAAAAAAGACCTAAAATAAAAAATGTTTAGTGAAAATATTCTTAGCTTTAGCGTCTGTTAGCTTGGTTAAAGTGGCTGTGAGACGAACATTTTCAAACAATAAAAACTGAACTGAAGTAAGAAAATTCACTCTGGAAACTAACTGATGCAAAAAAAGACGAGAAAACGAGAAACTACAAAACTATAATAACTGTGGTGTCAACATTTCTGATGCACAGGTGAGAAAAAACCTCTGATGCTCTTAAGAGAAAATGTTTTTGCACAGATTACTTCGAGCTAACCCTAAAACCGGCCACCCGAGTCTTATATCGCACTTGCTGATCTTGTATCAGATTTGAATTTTTAGAAAATATTTCTTCCCTTTATGCCCTTTACAGACCTGTAACTGAGCTCAGGTCTCGTGTCCTGCACTGTGAGCATTTTTTCCAGCTTTCCTTCCTGGATGTAAAAACCTTCTGTGTCTTTTGCCTTCATCTTTCTATATTCATGTTCTCATTGTTACTTGGCTGCAGTTTAAAGATTCAGATTTAGGACCTTCATCTGCTTCAGAGCTGCATTTGGATCCTTTTTTGTCCAAACTGATATATTTTCAAATTCATATTTAAGCAGAGGATTTTTCTTTTGGAGGGCATGAAGGTTGCAATTTGACTCAGAGGCTGTAATAAAGGGCGACACAAATAGGAGCCTCGTTGGAGATTAAAAGGGACATCCTTCTGAAGTGTTAGCACTTCCAAACCCAGGAGTAGATAATAGCTTCATCCAGGAAATACGCTACGAGCCATCCCTCATTTCTTTTCATTTTGCTTTAAAGAAGCCAGACTGACCATTTTCACAGGACAAAGCATAACAAAGGGCACTGAACTAAAGGGAGAAACTGAATTGTATCTCTACATAACAGACAAATTGGCAAAGAAACAATGAAATCTTTATCGCTGGTACTTTGTCTCTAGAAAGCTGTCAAAAGAAAAAAAATTTTGGTCCCATTTCTTCACTTGAATCTATGAAAAATGCCACAAATATTTCAGTTTGACAGAAATAAAAAACGTTTTCTTTTAAACAATAAGGCGATTTCCAAAGACTTATTAGCTGCAACCTTGGGATATCTCACACGGTGTGCAGAGTTTCCACAAACTGTAGAAAAACAACAAGAGGAAGACAAACAGAGAAATGACAGACCTAAAAAACTCTACAACAGATGAAGAGCATCTGAAGGTCACGTTGTTAAGAAACGGGACCTGATAGAGAAACCGGGAGCTGATTCATCTACTGTTCACTGAAGCCTCATCAGGAATGGGCTCAGAGGAAGTGTGGCTCTCAAGATGCCATTTTTCAGACCTGAGGTGTGTCAAATTGTACAAGATCATGAGATTGGCAGTCAAACACAACACTAACTACATGGCAACACCATGATACCGTCGTCACCATTTGACAGGATCAATATTTGACAGCACAGTGTTGTTAGCGAAAAACCCAGCAAAACAAAACAAGTAAATTAGTGAAATTCAGTCAGAATCGAGTCTGAAGAAGATTGTTCTTTCAAGCTACAGTTTTATATTTGCTTGTATGGCTCTGTTCTGTCACCTCCCTACCTTTCCACACTCATAAATGGAGTAACAATAATAATATTAATAATGGATTGGATTTATATAGCGCTTTTCAAGGCACCCAAAGCGCTTTACAATGCCACTATTCATTCACTCTCACATTCACACACTGGTGGAGGCAGCTACAGTTGTAGCCACAGCTGCCCTGGGGCAGACTGACAGAAGCCAGGCTGCCATATCGCACCATCGGCCCCTCTGGCCAACACCAGTAGGCAGTAGGGTAAAGTGTCTTGCCCAAGGACACAACGGCCAGGACAGAGAGAGCAGGGGGATCGACCCGGCGACCTTCTGGTTACAGATGAGCTTCCCAACCCCCTGAGCCACGGTCAGATGAGTTTTTAATAATAATGGTAACACATTTTCTCTATATATACAGAACTTCTTGATGCATTCTCAATCATCCAGGAAAGTAAATCTCCAAAAGTTGATTTTGTTCATCTGGACGTAGTCTCAGCTGACTGCAGGTAAACCTACACATACGGATCAGTATCTAAGGTTTGACTCTCATCATCCACTGGAGCACAAACTGAGTGTCATCAGGATGCTACAACACAGAGCGAACACCATCCCCACTGATACAGCGGCCAGGGAGGCAGAAGAACATCACATCAAGAAGGCCCTGAGTAAATGTGGTTATCCCAGCTGGACTTTTGTCAAAGCTGGAAAGGCACCTAAAGAAAGCTCCAGCCGATCCAGGAGAGAAGGACAACCGCTGCCCACCTGCA